AGCGGTAGCCTGGCATTACCCAGATTAGGATCAGAAACTACCCGGCCTGCCCTCTCTGCCTTTCCTCGCTCATTTAATTAGAACACACTTTGCAGGGCCGCCTGCAGAGAGGGGGGGGGAATTAATTCCTGCCCGCTGGGAAGCGCAGAAGTCCGAATCTCCGCTAATTGCTTTTCCGCTGGTTGAGGACCCGAGCCAACGTCAGCTTTGTTCCGCCGCAGCGACGTTCAGGACGCCGGATGCTCCCCGGTCGCTTCTGCAGGCGAGGCGTGGGAGTGCCACATCCCGAGGACTGAAATCTGGGGTTCATGGGCAGGCAACCTGCCGAAGGTCTCTTTGCAGCCGTGCCTTGCTCCGTCCATGGGGGGGCGACAGGCGGCCCTCGGCTCTGCCGTACCCTTCGCACAAAAGATCCGGTGCTCATTCCACCTTCATGTTTTCTGCGAAGGGTAGCCTTTTGAGCTGTCTCATGCAGAAGTACGTCACTCAGGGCCAGTCACAGGCAGTGTTCCCTCTAAGCTGAGTTATTGTGAGCTAGCTCCGTTTTTTAGCCTCCGGCTCACACATTTTTGTCTTAGCTCAGGAAGGATGGGGCTCCAGAGCAAACTAATTTATGCAGCAGCCCAATCGCTCGCTCACGACTTTAATGCCGCCGGATCACAAAGTAGAATTTTTGCTCACAAGACTCCACAGCTTAGGGGGAGCGTTGGTCACAGGTTTTGGGGGGCCCCGGGCAGAGAGTACCCAGGCCCCCCAAGCCTACTAGGACTAGGCCCCCTTCTTGCCCCCCCACCTGTGTGCCCCCTCTGCCCCCTCACAAGCTCTCCCACCCTCTGCAGTCACAGCTGTCCACATTGACTGTACACCCTTTCCTCTAACAAAAATGAGGAACACGCATTCTGGATGGGGGATATGCTTCTGAGTGTGTGTGAACAAGTTGTGTGTGAACAAGATCTTGGGGTATGGGTGGAGTGTAAGTTATATATGAGCAGCCAGTGTGATGCAGTGACAAAAAAGGCTATCAACAGAGGCATATCATCCAAATCACAAGATGTGATAGTCCTGCTATACACTGCATTGGTCAGGCCGCACCTGGAGTGTTGTGTGCAATTCTGGAGGCCTCTCTTCAAAAAGGATGAGGAGAGCGATAAGGATGATCGGGGGCCTGGAGACTGTGAGGAAAGGCTGAGGGACCTGGGAAGGTTCAGTCTGGAGAAGAAGAGGTCGAGGGGGGACACGATTGCTCTCTTGAAGTCTTTGAAGGGCTGTGTCACTTAGAGGAGGGAAGGGAGCTGTTCCTGTTGCTGGCAGAGGAGAGGACTCGCAAGAACAGGTTTAAATTAAGGGCGGGAAGGGACCGGACATCCCCCCCATTTATTTGTAATCTTTTGACATTTCTCCTCCCATGTCTCTTCAGTAATTATCTGTGCGAATATATCTAATTGTACGTGTTCAAAGACATAATTATTCCAATTTTCCATTGTCCATTTGTGCCTGTCCCTCCATCCCAATGCTATTACAGCCATCCCGGCTAGAACCATAATTTTATATAACTCCCGCTTATTTCTTTCCACTTTTTTGTTTCCCAATATTCCAGAAATGAGCAAATCCCTGTTGATCTCTACATTAACTTGAAATAGATCAAAGATAACCCTTACAATCTTTTGCCAAAATTCCTTAACCACTTTACATTCCCACCACATATGGGCGTATATACCCACTTCTTGGCCACAGTGCCAACACTTTGGATTCATTCCTTTAATCATGTACGCTATCTGAGCCGGAGTTCTATACCATTTCCACATAAATTTCCTCACCAATTCTTTATATCTATCTATTTTAATTTGATTTATACCGTTCATTATTTCTTGAATCACTTCCTGATGCATTAACCCTTCTCCCTCCCATTTATTCTGTATAATCCGTATCATTCTCTCCTTATCTCTTACCATCAATTTATATAATGCCCCCGCTATCCCTTTTTCTTTTACTTGTCTTCTGCTTAATATTTCATCAATTTCTGTTCTCTCCCTGCTTATCCCCTCTAATCTTTCAGATTTAACTAAATTGTATAGTCCTTGCACCTCTAACCAGTACTGCTTTCCGACTTTCTCTGAAAAAAAAAATTGAACCGAGGCGCTCCAGGTCTTCTGCCGGCTGCCGAGGTGGTAACATAAAGCAGTCGCCAACTCTTTAACTTCCGCTCGGCCGTGCTGCAGGGGGCATTGCCCCCCCCCCTCGTTCAGCCATTTCTGCGGAATTCTATTTAGGAGGAGAGCTCTAAAAATAGCCAGGAAGCACAGGTCGTATTTCTGCTCTGCGTTAGGACACAGGAGCAGAGGAGAGAAAAGCGGGACCAATTCCCCCACAAGGAGCTGTGCCGCCCTCGCTCTTCCATTTGCCCCGGTCACATTGGTTGATTTCCCACTCCTTACTCGCAGCCACATTTTGACCCACAGCTACCCCCAATTTCCCCCGCTTCTGTCGCGGGGGAATTGGGGTGGGGGTGGGGGTCAAAATGTGGCCACACAGCGAATAGTGTGAAATTGACTGATGTGACCGGGGCAAACAGGACAGCAAGGGAGGCCCAGCTGCTCGTGGGGGACCGGCCAAGGTGCGTAAAGGGCCCTTTACATTCCAACCATGAATACTATCATTGTGGTCGTGGAAAATGACGTCAAGGCGTAGGTGATTTACGGCAACCCTATAGGGCCTTCAGGGCCACTGCCTCTGCATAGCAACCATGGACTTCCTTGGTGGTCTCCCACCCAAATGCTAACCAGGACCAACCTGGTTAGTCATAGAATCATGGAATGTCAGAATTGGAAGGGACCTTGCAGGTCATCTAGTCCAACCCCCTGGCCTCTGCAGGAGCAGAGCCAACAGAGAGCCCTACAACATACCCGAAAGATGGTCGTCCAGCCTCTGCTTGGAAACGTCCAGCGAAGGAGCATCCACCCCCTCCCGAGGCAGACTGTTCCACTGCTCAACCCCTCTTACAGTTAGGAAGCATCTCCTGATATTTAGCCAGTAACGACTCCCTTGTAATTCCCACCCATTAGATCTAGTCTTGCAATCCGGAGCAAGAGAGAACAGATCTGCTCCATCTTCTACATGGCAGCCCTTCAGATACTTGAAGACTGCAATCGTGTCCCCTCTAAGCCTTCTCTTTCCCAGGCTAAACAGACCCAACTCTTTCAGCCTTTCCTTGTATGACTTGGATTCCAGCCCTCTCACCATCCTGGTTGCCCTCTTCTGGACACGCTCAAGCTTGTCGACATCCTTCCTAAAATGTGATGCCCAAAACTAGTATTTACAAAGCCTGTAGAACGGAGCTCTTCCACCAGGCCTTCGATCCAGAGCCGCCACTGCCGAGTCATCGGAATGTGTCCTTATGATACACTGTTGGACCACCGCCTTCTACCATAGGATCGTTATCGAAGACGCCATCTGCTGTATTTTCCTTATTTGAACTTAATGCTGCTGTATATGTGAATTTTCCTGCCAACCTAGCAGTTCGAAAGCAAGAAATTGCAAGTAGATAAATAGGTGCCACTTCGGTGGGAAGGGAACAGCGTTCCGTGCGCCTTGGTGTTTAGTCATGCCGGCCACATGACGACGGGAACGCCTTCAGACAGTGCTGGCTCTTCGGCTTGGAAACGGAGATGAGCACCGCAACCCTAGAGTCGGACTCGACTGGCTTTCGAGCAAGGGAACCTTTACCTTTACATGTGAATTTTAGTGCATTGATTGTTCTATTGCGTTTTAACCCGTGTATTATTTTATTGTATTTTACCCATGTAAAATACAATGTCCCGGTAAGGTGGGATATAAATTGAAAATAAATAAATAAATAGTAAGACCCTGCTTAGCTTCTGAGACCTGACGAGATCGGGCCCGCCTGGGCTATGCAGGTTAGAGCGGAAAGGCAGAGGTGTTTCGCCAATGCCTGCCTCTGCGTAGCAACCCAGGACTTCCCTGGTTGTCTCCCATCCAAGTACTGACCAGGACCGACCCTGCTTAGCTTCCAAGTTACACCAAGATCGAGCGAGTCTGGGCCAACCAGGTCAGGGCGGACAAGCAGAGGTGGTTCGCCATTGCCTGCCTCTGCGTAGCCACCCGGGACGTTCTTCGATGGTCTCCCATCCAAGTACAAACTAGGCCTGACCCTGCTTAGCTTCTGAGACTGGCCTAACCTGGGCTATCCAGGTCGGGGCAGACAAACAGAGGCGGTTTGCCATGGTCTGCCTCCGCGTAGCAACCCTGGACTTCCTTGGCGGTCTCCCATCCAAGTACTCATCACGGCCGACCTTGCTTCGCTTCCAAGATACACCAAGATCGGGCGAGCCTGGGCCATCCGGGTCGGGGCAGACACTATTTTTAACAGCGATCCTTACAATAGCACGGTTTGCAGTCGCCGGCATTCCGCCCGTGGAACCCAACGCTCTTGGGCATGTCGCTCCCTTAGTGCTCGTGGTCCGAGAAGCGAAGGCATCGTGGTGCGTGCGGCCATGTGGCATGCGAAGGAGCCCTTGCCAGCCCTGCGACGCTGGACGCGGCCGAGTCAGAGGTGAGCAAGAGCAAACCGGCGCCCGTCCGATTCCGGGCGCGTGGGAGGCACCAGCCACATTTGCAGCCACACCGAGCCAGTTGCACATTTTTTGCACAATCTCTCTCACACACACACACACACAGTCACACACCCCTCGCAAGCCTCAAGCCGAGTCGTTCGCCCACAGGTCAACCCCGAGGCCGGCACCTACTGGAAGAAGCGTGGTCAGCAGCGATGGACCGGCGCCTGGCACTGAGCGCTCAGAGAGAGGCAGACCCCAAAACCAGTGGTTAAATTCGGGGGGGGGGGAAGGGGAGCGTGAAGCTGATGTTAAGAGGAGGATGAGCAAGTGATTAGGAAGCTTGCAGAGAAATTAAGCAGAGTCGGGCGTCTACATCTAAGGAGAGGAAGATGCTCGGGGAGCGCTGGGCCCGCCGGGCCCCCCTACCATCGTGGTCTTCGATATAGGGCTTGGGTTTCTTTCTCAATTTGGACTTCTTCTTAGTGTTCCTTTCCAGGAGCTCTTTAATGTGCTGAGTCACTGGGAAACAAACAGAACGATGAGGACAACGGAATGGGCAGTGAGGAAATAAAACGGGGGGGGGGGAGAGAGAGAGAAAGGGGGGGAGACACATTTTTCAAACGCAAAAAAAAGTGAAACCAAAAAAGTCTGGCGAGCCCCGCTTTCATCGCTGGCAGGTCTGGTTCCCGCCTGTCAGGCAGGGAGCACGAGTTTAAATCGGAGCTGCGTGAGCCGTCTTTTCCATTCGGGGGTAGGAACTAACCCATACGGGGGGCGGGAACGGGGTTACCAACCTTCCAGCTGGGAACTGGAGATCTCCTAGAATTCCCACTGACCTCCAGGAGACAGAGATCAGTGCCCCTGGAGAAAATGGCTGACTGGAGGGGGGAACTCTGTGGCATTACGCCCTTGAAGCTGTTGGCATATACAGAGCGGTGCCTGCCATTCAAGATGACAGCCGCCACTGAGACCTGTGTGATCTAACTTGACAGTTCAGAGATCACATGACAGCCAACTGCATCAGCATTCAAGGAGTCACCGTGACTCGGCATTTTGTATGGACTGTACTGTGATTGGTTGTATACCTGTATATATTGAATGTAGTTGAGTTCACCGCGACTGCCTATGTGGTTACTAGTGCCTGGTGAAGCAGTTTGTCGGTCTGACAACCGAATGCTGAGTTCCTGTGGACTGTGTGTAAATGCTTGTATAATAAACTGTAAATACTCTGCACCAAGGCAGGCGTGCTCTGCTTATTACGACTTCAAACACCGTCAGGGTTATGGGCCCAGACTGAAGACTGCGCTGAGCTGTGGAGTATGGTCGTGCCGGGAGTAAAAAGCGATAGCGGCACAATTTTTCATGACCCTGAGAAGCCAAACTTGCTGTGACTAGGGCTGGGGCGTTTTCGGTGGCGGCTCCTACCTGGTGGAAGGAGCTCCCGGAAGAGATCCGGGCCCTGCGGGACCTCTCTCAGTTCCGCAGGGCCTGCAAGACGGAGCTCTTCCGCCAGGCCTTTGGATAGGAGCCGCCGCCACTACTCAGCCCTAGTGAATTAACATCGAATTAACATCGAACTAACATGGACTGCCTGGCCCCCAAGGGTGGAACGTAGTACCAAACATGGCTCTAGGATAAGATCAAGGGAGCTATGTTGAGATAAGATCTTTTTCTCTTGCTTGAAACTTGCTTTTAATGTATTGTAAATTGTTCATTTTATTGTAATTTATTGTTTTAATCATTGTATTGTTTTAATCTGGCACTTAGTGCCCTGTAAGCCGCCCTGAGCCTTCGGGGTAGGGCGGGGTAGAAATTCAAATATAAATAAATAAATAAATAAATAAACACCGTCAGGGTTATGGGCCCAGACTGAAGACTGTGGTGAGCTGTGGAGTATCGACAGGTATTGGACGTGCCGGGAGTAAAAAGCTATAGCGGCACAATTTTTCATGACCCATGGTTTGTTGGATCAGGAATATGCACCTACAGAGACTCTTAAGTGTATAAGTGTGTCCAGCAAGGGGGGGGGGGATACTCCTAGAAACGGGGTCCCAAAACCTTTTTGACCCTATGGGCACCTTTGGAATTCTGACACAGAGTGGGTGTGGGTGTGTGCGCGCATGCACAAAATGGCTGCCACAGGAGGCGGAGCCAGCCACAAAATGGCTGCCACAGCTTACCTTCGGTCACACAGTGAAGATCCGTGTGTCGTGACGGCAGCTGCTGCTAGAGCAACTTTAAAAAAAAAATCTGCACAGCCCATCAAATCTCCAGTGGCCAATCAGAAATTTTGCTGGGCAAAAGCCCAAGCTGACCACGCCCACTTTCTGAAAACACTTGGCAGCTGTCGGGAAAGGAGTTGGCAGGTCCCATGACACCTACAGGTACCACATTGCGGAGCCCAGACCTAGAATTTCGGCTAAAGGACTAATTTCTGCAAACAAACAACCTCCCCCCCCTCCCCATTTCTGCCTTTGCAGCGCCCCTGGTGATACTGCGGATATGGGCAGAGTCGCCCTTTAGGACGGCAGGGATTAGCGACCCGCTTCCGTTCGCAAGAGCGGGACGAGTGTGTAATTAATTCTTCTGGGCCAATTCCGGCAGCGGAGAAAGCGAGGCTCCTGTGAACATAAATAGCAACGGGTGTGGAACAGATAAATGGATAAAAGACCTAACTGGCAAAGGCCAGGCGTGGGTGGGGCTAGCTTGCCCCCAAACTCAGGCGTAGGGTTTTGAACACTGGCACTGCCCAAGGACTGAGCCTGGCAGAGACGAATCCGGCATGGGACACGGCCGTCTCTCAGAAACGAGCATGATGCACCTGCTGTCTTTTTGTGTGGATTTGCTGATCCCTCGACGAGAAATGGCGCCCGTCTTCCCCCAGCAAAATTCTTCCAACCCCTTGGATGAGGAAGGACCCAGGGTCACTCTTAAGTTGAGACAATTTTTAATTCACTCCCCCTGCCTCCTCCCATCACACTCCAAGGAGGAAACAGACAATCCAGTGTTGCTTCAATTGGGCGAAATTACTGTGCTTTGGTGACATCATGGGAACTCAGCCAATCAGCTCTCCCACACCTCCCTGTTAATTTGCAGGTCCGAGATTCTGAAGATGGGCCGTTGCACGCATTGAGAATCCTCAGCGGTGATTTTCGGCACTACAGACGTAATTTTAAATCTAGGCCGTGCGTGGGAGGAAACGGGGAAGGAAATAGGCTGGAGAGCTCCCGTCTACGCAGCATGTGAGAAATCTACTGCTAAAGGTCAATAAGTTGGTTCTGGCAGGGAATTTTGCTCTCTTTCATCAAAGGATAAAAAGGGAAATCAGTCCCGCTTGGCTTAGTTCGTAGACCTCACACGCTACCAAGTAGCGTTTCTGGTGAACCAGACCTGTCTGGTTGGAGGAGGAGGAGGAGGAAGAAGAAGAAGAGGAGGAGGAGGAGATTGGATTTATACCCCGCCCTTCACTACCCAAAGGAGTCTCAGAGCAGCTTAGAAACTCCTTCCCCTTCTCCTCCCCACAACAGACACCCTGTGAGGTCGGCGGGGCTGAGAGAGCTCTTGACAGAAACTGCTCTTATTCAAGGACAGCTCTTATCAGAACTACAGCTTGCCCAATGGGGAATCAAGCCCAGTTCTCCCAGATTAGAATCCGCGCACTTAACCACTACACCAAACTGATTCCAATCTCCTTTCCCTTCCCCTCCCCACAAAACAGAGACCCTGTGAGGTGGGTGGGGCTGAGAGAGCTCTGACAGAAACTGCTCTTTTTCAAGAACAGCTCTGACAGAACTACGGCTTGCCCAAGGTCATCCAGCAGGTGCAAGTGGAGGAGTGGGTATTCAAACCCGGTTCTCCCAGATTAGAGTTCGCGCACTTAAGCCACTGCACCAAACTGGTTACAGGGAATAATGTCACGGTATACAGGGGGTTAAAGGTTGATGAGGAAGAGCCTCTGTGACTGATACCCCCCACCCACAGATAGCGACATCCTTTGCATTTCAGAAACATTCTGCGGGGCACCTGCAGCTTTTGGAGGCTATTCTCTGATCCTCATGGAGATTCTCCCCGAGTATTTCCATGCAACCATGTGCAGCGTCAAAAGAAAGCGCAGAGACCATGAACGGGGTACTCAGCAGCTGGACCGAGCAGCAGAGATGGGTGCTGGAACAGGAAAGAGCTTGACTAGACTATCATGAGTGCCTCTGCTGGTTCAGAAAGGGTAAGTAAAGGTAAAGGTTCCCTTGCTCAAATGCCAGTCGAGTCCGACTCTAGGGTTGCGGTGCTCATCTCCGTTTCAAAGCCGAAGAGTCAGCGCTGTCCGAAGACGTTTCCGTCGTCATGTGGCTGGCATGACTAAACACCAAGGCGCACGGAATGCTGTTCCCTTCCCACCGAAGTGGTACCTATTGATCTACTTGCAATTTCTTGCTTTCGAACTGCTAGGTTGGCAGGAGCTGGAAGTAGAGATGGGCGCTCACTCCGTCATGCGGCACCCGGGTCTCGGAACTGCTGAACTACCGACCTTCCACAGCCTGCAGTTCAGCGTCTTAACCACTTGAGCCACCGCAGCTCCCTCAGAAAGGGTACCAGTTGAAAATTGCTTCTGAGATCGGATCCTGTTTCATGGGCCAAACCGTGTGAGTCTGTTGAGGCTGGGAGAGGGGGGCATCGGGGGGGCAAGTGAGGCTCAACGTGGGCAAGTGCCAAGTAAAGCATGTTGGAGCCAAAAACCATAACTATAAATATGCACTCATGGGAGCCAAACTGGTGGTAACCAGCATTCCCTCTAAGCTGAGTTAGTGTGAGCTAGCTCACTGTTCTTTAGCCTCCGGCTCACACTTTTTGGCTGCTGCATAAATTAGTTTGCTCTGGAGCCCTCCTTCCTGAGCTTAGAGGGAACTCAGCTTAGAGGGAACACCGCTCACAAGACTCCACATCTTAGAGGGAGCATTGGTGGTAACCAGTGTTCCCTCTAAGCTGTGGAGTCTTGTGAGCAAAGAATTCTGCTTTATGAGCTACTGGCATGAAAGTTGTGCAGCGAGCGATTGGGCTCCTGCACAAATCAGTTTGCTCCGGAGCCATCCTTCCTGGGCTAAGACAAAAAATGTGTGAGCCGGAGTCTAAGAAAATGTCAGCTAGCTCACGCTAACTCAGCTTAGAGGGAACGCTGGTGGTAGATCTTGGAGTGGTGGTGGTAGATAACGCCGTGAAGATGTCGGCTCAGTGGGCGACTCCAGAAAAAAAAAAAAAAGGCTAATGAGAGCCAGTTTGGTGTAGCGGTTAAATGCGCGGACTCTAATCTGGGAGAACCAGGTTTGATTCCCCACTCCTCCACTTGCACCTGCTGGATGACCTTGGGCAAGCCATAGTTCTGATAAGAGCTGTTCTTGAAAACGAGCACTTTCTGTCAGAGCTCTCTCAGCCCCGCCTACCTGACAGGGTGTCTGTTGTGGGGAGGGGAAGGGAAAGGAGTCTGTAAGCCGCTCTGAGACACCTTTGGGTAGTGAGGGGAGGG